GCGAGCAACAAGTCCCATGACCAGGCCGGAGGCCCGTGGTGAGGAGCTTGGGCCTGAAGGACAAGAAATAACCCATGCCACCACCGTAGCCGAAACTGCGCGTCGCCACACCAGGGGCCGCGGGCCACACCAAGACAAGGGAGGTGCTCACAGCCCCGCCCGACCCGCCACTGGCAAAGAAGGCGGCTCCTTCTTTCGCCTTCCCTCTCTCCTCCCCCTCCCTCCCCCACTCCCACTCCCCCTCCTCCCCTCTCCTCCTCCTCCTCCTCCTCCTCCTCCTCCTCCTCCTCCTCCTCCTCCTCCTCCTCCTCCTCCTCCTCCTCCTCCTCCTCCTCCTCCTCCTCCTCCTCCTCCTCCTCCTCCTCTCCTCCTCCTCCTCCTCCTCCCTCCTCCTCCTCCTCCTCCTCCTCCTCCTCCTCCTCCTCCTCCTCCTCTCCTCCTCCTCCTCCTCCTCCTCCTCCTCCTCCTCCTCCTCCCTCCTCTCTCTCCCCCTCCCTCCTCCTCCCCTCCTCCTCCCCCTCCCCCTCTCCCCCTCCCCCTCCTCCTCCTCCCTCCTCCTCCTCTCCGCCTCCTCCTCCTCCCCTCCTCCTCCTCCTCCTCCTCCCCCTCCTCCTCCTTCTCCTCCTCCACAATTACACAATATGAATACTACTCTCCTCTCTCCCCTGGTGGCGTCCGGGAAATGGCCCGCCCCCCTCCGCGTGCTGGTTTTGTAACACACACACACACACAGGATGCCCGGGAACTGGGTTTTCGCTTGGGTTTTTTCCAAATGCTGCTCTCGCTGAAGCGCTGGCCTCGGTTTCGGGCTACCGCTCCTTCCGAATAGTGTTCCCGCTGCAGCGCTGGCCTCATTTCTGCGCTTGCGCTCATCCCGAATCGAGCTCTCACTGCAGCGCTGGCGTCATTAGTTCCAGTGCCATGCCACGGCATCGTTTTCGGTCATTCCAAATAGGCCCCAAAATCTAGAAATGGTCCCACGAAAAAACCATCGGACGTGATTACACATTCGGTGTCGATTCGTTGATTTTTGGGGCCGCAGAAGCCCCGCCCCCCCCCCTCGTTGGGGCGTCGCCACGCCATGCTATGTCAGGCTACGCGTCCTCATTTCCGCGTTGCCGCGCTTGGGTTGTTGTTCCATGATGCTGCTCGCGCTGAAGCGCTGGCCTCATATTCGGGCTACCGCTCGTTCCGAATCGTGTTGCCGCTGCAGCGGTGGCCTCGTTTCCGCGCTTCCGCTCGTCCCGAATCGTGCTCCCACTGCAGCGTTGGCGTCATTAGTTCCAGTGCCATGCCACGGAATGGTTTTCGGTCCTTCCAAATAGGCCCCAAAGTCTCGCAAATGGCCTCCAAAACAAAAACATTGGAAGTGACTGCACATTCGGTGTCGGTTCGTTGATTTGTTAGACCGCAGAAGCCCCGCCCCCACTTTGGGGCGTCGCCACGCCATGCTATGTCATGTTACGCGTTGATCTTCAACACCATGCTATGCCATGTAATGCCATGAGATGCTGCGACATCCGATTGTGCGAATAGAAAAAAGATCTACGCCATGGTAAGGGATGGGAGGGAGGAGTAGGACATCAGATATGACGCGAGCGCACATAGCTTATCCTCCACCCCCTCCTCCTCCTCTCTCCTCCTCCTCCTCCTCCTCCTCCTCCTCCTCCTCCTCCTCCTCCTCCTCCTCCTCCTCCTCCTCCTCCCTCCTCCTGCTCAGCTCCTCCTCCTCCTCCTCCTCCTCCTCCTCCTCCTCCTCCTCCTCCTCCTCCTCCTCCTCCTCCTCCTCCTCCTCCTCCTCAACGTCCCTCCTACCTCTGCGGGCCTATTGAGGGCACCAAAGACTGCCGCCCAGGGCTTCGGCATGGGGTACTCGGGTCCTGTGGGACCGGGTCATGGACCCTGAGGACTTCCCCGGGACGAGCATTTCGTCCTGAGTCGTTGTTTGACGGTCCTGGGGCCTGCAGGAGAGCCCCAGGAGCCCAAAACCGGCGCAAAACCTCCAGGACCCCATTTGCTCCAGGACTCCTTTTACATGGCGTGGGCTGCAGCACTGAGCCTTGCCATCCAATCCAACGACAACGGAAAGAGCAAGGGGAGTGGAAATGGCTCGTTACGAAAGCGCAGGGCCAGGAAGCTGAAAACACTGGGAACACATGCGGCTGGATTCATCAGGATCGTGTGGACGCCAGCTTGCTGTATGCACACGCAGAGGGTCGGCGTATCTGACAACACGAGGGCCGAACGCTTGAAAGACGAGCGGCCACATGCGCACTGTTTGAAGGCATGACCCTCCCCGCAAAATGGTAGAGGATACGTTCTCGGATGTACACCTGCTGCGAGGGTGTGCGGCGGAGTCACGTCACGAGGACGTCGGCTCTGGCTTCTACCACCGTGTGAATCGTTCTACCTTGAACGATCGCTGCTGCCCTGATCGGTCGATACGGGCCGACTCTGGGCCACTGGCGCCGTTCAATGTTGAACGCCCGCGCTGGAGTCGCCACCGCCTCAACGCGTCGCGAACCTGCCGTACAGCAGATTCCTGTTGTGACGACGTCAGCTCTGGCTCTTGACGCCGCGTGAACCGTTCGATCTTGAACGATCTCCGCTTTCGAAGGCCCCCCCAGAGGCTCTGAACTCCAGCTTTCGGGTGGATCTCACGCCGTGAGTGTCTGCTGTGGGCCCCAAGGCCCGAAACGGTCTCCACTGCAGGGATCGCTGTGACATGCATCAGTTGCAAGTCCGCCTAGCTGCTCCAAGTTGGGTCTGCGACTTGCTCAGACTTAGAGCAGCCTGGCGGACTTGTCAGCCACTTGCGGACGCCCTGCTAATGAGTTGCAAACGCCATGTAACTGCTGCAACTGTTGCAACTCGAACCGACCACTTCGGCAGGAGGGTGTTCAACCTGGATGCACGCTTCAGCGCCGCCGCCCCGTCGAGGCAGCACGATAGTCGACTTCGCTCAGAACTGATCCCCGGACCCAGCCGCTGCCATGAGCTTACGGGAGGCATCGCAGCCCCAGTCACCGACCGCGTGTGGTTCTCGAATGGACCGGCAAAAAGTAAGGCCAAACCCGAGGATCTACGACGGCAGGGCGTCCATGCTCGATAAGAGTGCGTCCGAAGAGCCCCCTGGGGGCGTACCCCCCGAATTTCACTCCTGTCTTGAGCGACATGCGGTCGGGAACTTTTTGGTCGCGTGTCGCCACGGCGGCCCCGGCGACAGGCTATGTCTCGCAAGCGGATAGCGTGTCGCTCCACTCCGCGGGGCGGGAGGCTTGGCAAGGCTCGGGACGCTGACGCCTGGGGACCAGGACGCGGACAGCGTGTCACGCCGAGGCGTGGCGGGCCAGAACCAGCGGAGCGACACGCTGTCCCAAGGCTCCCGCTCGTGGCTCTTCGGGCGGAAGTCGGCGAGCGGGGGCGAGAAATCGCCTGCGACGACTTCGTCCTGAGGCGTCCCCGCCGCGTCGGGGAAGGCGCGACGCCCGCCGTCGGCCTTCAGGGCTTCGCACAGGCCCCCAGCCCCCCGAGGACTCGGTCGGAGATCTCTGCACGGAGGTGCCCGCGGAGGCCTGAGGAGCTCTCCGGCGCCCTCTCGGAAAACTCCCAACGGCTCCCGGAAGCCCTGAGGGGTCTCAAAAAACGTCCACGGCCTACTTGTTGCCTCGGGCTCGGCGGACGCGCGGGTCGGTCGGAGCAAGCGCTGAGCCACGGCGAAGCGGATTGCGCACAGGGGAACCCGATGAGCAGGAAGAGGAGCGGCCAGACCCATCGGCTGCACGCAGGGGTGGCCTCAGGCAAGGCTGGCCTCTGGGGCGCGGCTCGCCTTACGCTGCATGCGATGCGGCAGCTGCGACCTGCGTGCTTGGGCTTGCCGCCCCCCCCCGCTGAGGGGGAGCATCAGGGGGGGGGACTGGCTCAGGGGGGGGTGGGGCACAATGACCCGGGATCAGCGGTACATCTCCGATAGATCGGCGGAGACCCCCGACAGCAAATCCGAACCTTCCTGGGCAGGCTGGACGGTCGGGCTCCTGTCGGCGATGAGCCGATTCCCCCCCCCCCCCCCCGCAACGTTGCCCCTGACCCGCGCCCGCCGCGACCCCTGACCCGCGCCCCCACCAATGGCAACTCTGGCGCAGGGCCACTTAATGCGTCAGAGGCCTCCCAGATGGGGTCCGAGTGGATGGGGTCGGAGGACCGCGCCGCATCGTCGATGCATCGTTGACGATGCATCGGCGACTTCGGCGCTGCATCGGCGCGACGCCGGCGTGGATAAAAGCAGGCTCAGCATCGAGCCGCATCGCCAATGCATCGGCGATGCGGCGCGATGCTCCGACCCCGTCTGGGAGGCCCAAATGCGTGCAGCCGAGCCCACCTCGATCCTCAACCCTGCCGCGCCGCGGTCAGCACCGAACTGGGAAACCAGATCGAACCGGAGCGCTCGTCGGACCAAGGGCTGCAGCGGCACGAAGCCGTGACCAAATCGGACCAGCCGCGCCAGGATGCACCGCAGCGCCGTGGCAAGCTTCGGACCGCATCTGATCGCCAGGATATCGGGATCGAAATCGGAACGAGCGGACCAAGATCGACATCGAAGCGGATCGATCGGATCGAAATGGGCCCTGGTTTGGTGGCTCCCCGTCCCCCACTGGAGGAACAAAAAGATACCGAGACAGCTACTCCGCACAGACCTCTCCCTGGGCGAGATCTGCCCAGGACCTCGAGGCGAATCTGGCCCGGGCGATGACGCAAGGGCAGCGGCATCGGCATCTGTCCCCAGACACCCGACGTCATGACTTTTCAAAACACGGACCCCTGAGGTCTCTACGTACCCCTTCCCCAAGGCGGGCTTTTCATTCGGAACCGTTGTTGTCGGACTCGGGGCCCAGCGAGGGCCCCTGGAGGCCGAAAATCGCAACATCAAAATCTCGCGTCGTTTTTTCTTCCCACGTCGCCAGGTGGTCTGGGTCTTCCTCCTGTGACCCACCCCTGCTCGCCGTCGTCCGTCTTGCTGAGCAGCCTCGACAACAGGCTCGACCCCTCCTCGCGCCGCGGCGCGGGGCGAGCAGGGCGGCGCCCAAGGAGAAAGGATGGATGGGGAAGGAGGGAGGGGGGAAAACAATGAGGAGAATGGAGAGGGCCGCTGGAGGAGGAGAAGGAAGATAAGGACGAGGAGGAGGGAGGAAAGGAGGAGGAGAAATGGGCGGAGAAGGAGGAGGAGAGGAGGAGAAATAGAAAGAGGAGTAGGAGTAGGAGTTGGAGGGTGGAGGAGGAGGAGGAGGGAAGGAAGGAAGGAAGGAAGGAAGGAAGGAACGGCGGAGGAGGAGGAGGAGGAAGGAGGATGAAAAGGGATGAAGAGGAGGAAGATGAGAGGAAGGAGGAGGAGGAGGAGGAGGAGGAAGGAGGAAGGGAGGATGAAAAGGGATGAAGCGAGGAGAGGAGAGGAAGGAGGAGAAAGAGGAGGAGGAGGGGAGGAGGAGGAGGGGGAGGGGAGGTAAGGAGGAGGAGGAGGAGGACGAACAGAAGAAGGTGGAATGGGAGGAGGAGGCGAGGAGGAGGAGGAGGACGACGACGACGACGACGAGGAGGGGGGAGGATGAAGAGCGGGGAGGATGAACAGGAGGAGGGAGGGGAGAGGACGAAGAGGAAGAGGGGGCACAAGGGGGGGGGAGGGGCGGGGGCGGACGGTCGACGCATGCCAGGGAGAAGGGAGGAGCGAGGGAGGAAGGAGGATGAGGCAGAGGAGGAGGAGGAGGAGGAGGAGGAGGAGGAGGAGGAGAAGGAGCGTCGTTGGAGGACTAAGCGTTACATGAAGTGTCCCTGTGCCGGGCATATACGCGAAGAGTGGCCAGAGGACAACCCAAAGTCTGAAACAACTCTGGACAAGCGAAGTGTTCAGAATTGATTCGGGCTGAGGGCCAAGGCATCCTCAAGCACGTGGGCAGGAGAGTCACTGGAGGAGGGGACGGATGAGAGCGACGAAAATTTGGAAGACGATCGGCTCGTGGGTACCAAAGCCGTTTGGTATTGGTAGTGTCACGGATCATGGGTCACCCGTCTGCAGCACAGTAGACGGTAGGCCCCACCGTCGGGTGCAAGAGTCCCCGATCCTGCCAGGGCGATTCTGTACTCGAGTTCATGGATAAGACACTGCAGGGAACGTCGCGCAAAGCGCTGAAAGCACACCTCAAAGAGAGGGAAGGGCAGGAGTCCCCCTCCTCCCTTCTGGGGCGACACGTGGATGCCTCCCCCACATGTAGGATATCCGGGCAGCATTCCGACTCTGATCCCCCCGCCTCCTCCGCCTGGACCTACCTCTTCGGAGGCAGGCCGGTCCAGCACCAAGACCTCCGACGTCATGACTTTCTCCGACCATGGACTCCAGCCTTCCCCGGGGACAGCTGCTCATCCCCAGGCGTTGTCGGCGGCCCCGGGGGAGGGCCCTTGGTGGCCGCAAATTGGGAAAACTGCCGTCGCAATTTTTGTCGCGGCGAGGGGAGGTCGGCTTTCGGAACCTCAACTCGGGTCTCTAGCGGTCGTTCGGGACGATTCAGGCAACCCCCCGAACGCTCTCGGCGAGGCGCAGCCGCTGGAAAGCGCCATCGCAACGACGTCCAACCCTCGACGCGAGGAGGTTCGACGTATTTGGGGGAGAGGGGAAGGGCGAATTGGTGCGCACACCAGGCTCATAATTCGGGGGGGGGTTAATTGCCGTTCTGGGAGGCTGTCCTTGCTGTTGAGTATACCACTCCGCCGCCGCGCGCTCGAGAGCAACCGCTCGCGCCAACTCGCAGGCCATACTTTCATTCTATGAGCCCGACGAACGCACTAAATATTCATGCACCTGTTGACCCAGACCCCCGACGTCATGATTCGTTTCACGACGTGGACCCCCAGGGGCCTGGATCCCTTCCCATCGACCGCTTTTCCATCCCGAATAATTGTTTGGCGGGCCTGGGACCCAGTGGGGGCCCCCAAAAGCCGAAAATAGCTATAACAGAAAGCCTCCCGTCGTGATTTCTTCATGACCCGAGGGGGTCTGGGGAGCGCACCCTGTAGCCTTCCCCTGACACAAACCCTTCGCCCTCGACGCCCCGCCAGGACGGCGACGCTCCTGCGGCGGCTCTGCCTCCGCCGGCGCGGCGGCCTGCTCCCCCCCGGCGTCGTCCGCGGCCCTGGCGGAGCGTTGCCTCCGGACCTCTTTCGGCGCGCCGCAGCCGCCTCCTCCTCCCACTCCTCCTCCTCCTCCTCCTCCTCCTCCTCCTCCTCCTCCTCCTCCTCCTCCTCCTCCTCCTCCTCCTCCTCCTCCTCCTCCTCCTCCTCCTCCTCGTCCTCCGAGAAAGAGAAAGAGAGAGGGACAGAGGCAGAGAGAGAGAGGGAGACGGAGGATAGAGGGGTGAAGGAGCAGGAGAAGGAGAAACGGAAGGGAGGCTTGCAGGAAGGGTCAGAAAGGGAAGGGAGACAAGGACGACGATGAGGAGCACGCCGACGACGGGGACGAGATGTCGGCCCATGGTAAGCCCAGGCTGCATCAACGATGCTGCTTCACACCCTCCCGACACCCTCCCGTCCCAAGTCCCCCCCTCATGAGCCCCTTTCAAACGTTCCATGCATGACAAACCTTCTTTTCTTGTAGTTCGAGGATGGACTACAAAGTAAGCTCACAACTTTCAAGGAACTGTCAAGAAAAGCCCCGTTTTGACAAGAAGGGGTCATCCACCCAGAGAGTTCGCACATTTGTTTACACACTGGGTCGCACACAGGAAGGAAGTATGCAGCGACAGCCTGGTTTTGAAGAAAGGAGCCGCCCTCATTGTTTGCAATCGCTGCACAGCTTGAACGTTTATGGTCATCCAGTTGAAATATGTTTCAAGGGAGTGCCCTAGAGTGGCAGGGAGCCGCCCTGCAACAATGTAACTGTTGGAACAGTTAGACACGAATGTCTGCATCCCTGAAGCGAGAAAACATGTCGAACGCCATTCGCCCTCCATCAGCGCTACTCTAAGATATTTCTAAGACGATTGTGTGCGGCGGTAAGACAGAAGTCACCTTTGGAAACGGCCGACCCTTTATGCGTGTTGTTGTTCGACAAGTTCGAGATAGGAAAAATGCGCGCACCGTGGCGGCGATGTCCATTTCCTGGAAACGACCCGCTCTCCATCCATGCAACTGTTACAAAAACCGTCATCAGGATCATCAGCAGCGAGGAGGTATCATGCAAGACGCCTGGCGAGTCGAGGGAAAAGCCATCACTATTATCTCTGCCTCACGAAACACGTGTTGATGATGAAGGGGCAGGGGAGAAGGAGGAGGAGGAGGAGGAAGGCGAGAAGGGGAAGAAGGAGGAGAAAGAGGAGGAGGACGACGACGACGGAAATGATGACGACGAGAACGAAGAGGACCAGGCACAGGGATGGGGAGGGGGAGGCGACGACGAGGAGGAGGACAAAGGAGGTCTCCGGAGGTCTCGGAAGTCTCCAGACGTCCCCGGAGGTTCCCAAAGGTATCCCAGGGGCCTCAAGAGGTGTCTGGCTATCTGGAGGCCTCCAGACGCCAGAAAACAAACAAAACAAAAAATCTCTAGTACATAGAATGACGATCCAGACTCTCGACCACTTTCCTGGGGCCAGATTTCCTCATGGGTAGTGTTTTGATGGTCCCAGGGCACCAGGCTAGCCTCCCAAGGCCAAAAACTACAAAAAAGTCATCTCGATTTTTGTTCGGGACTCCTGGGGACGGCGATTTGAAGGGCGACGACGAGGATCGACGACGATTGGCGACACGAAGGGGAGGATCGCGCGAAAGATTTGGCCTTCCAAGCAGGCCAAGGGGCGTCTTAGAAAGGCTCGGAGGCTTCCACGAAGACTTATCAGAAGCAGGGGGACCTCTGAGAGGCCCCCCGCCTTCGTAGAAAATCACCCCCCTGAAGGGGCTCTGAGACATGGGGCCCGAGGGCCAGGAGACCTGGAGCGATGTCCACGCAGCCTGGATCGGGTGTTGCCAGAAGTATGCTTGACCCAATGTGTTCCCAAGATTCCCAAGAAGGCCCCCGCGGCCTCCGAGGGCTCACAGAGGACGAAAATTAGCAAAACCTTGCGTCGATACCTTTCCCGAGAACGGAATGAGGTCAGCTTTCGGGGCACAACTCGTGTCTCCAGCGGCCACGCGGGATGATTCGGGCACCCCCAGAACGCTCTCGGCGAGGCGCGGCCGCTGGAAAATGCCCCGGGGATAGGAAACCTCCGAGACCCCCACAAAACCTCCGAAGAACCTCGCGGAGGACACAACGAGGTCCAGGAGAATAGCGCACACACCTTCGCCGGCGGCGCCGCGGGGGGCGGCGGCCCGGCCGGCACCGCGTTCGTCCTGCCGCGCCCGGCCGGAGGCTGATGGCGACAGCGACGACAACGATCACGACGGCAACGACGACGACGCCGTCGCCGCCGACAACGCCGACGACGACGACAAAGGTAAAGACAAAGACAAAGACGACAACGACAGAGACGGCAACGTCTTCGCCTCGGAGGTGTTTGGACCCTTTGGACGCCTTCACGATCCTCTCGGGGCGAACTCTTGGCACACGTGTTGGGGCAAGGTGCCCACACCCGTTTGCATGCACATTGTCACATCGTCAATGGTCATTTTGACTCAGAAGAGGCACGCAAGGGACGAAACATTAGCCTGGTCCGGACACAAGCCGCATCTAGTTGCATTGGTCGTCCGGCATGCTTGTCTGAATCTCCTTTTCCGGTGACGGTATCGGACAGACGGCAGCGCAGGGTAACAATTGGTGCCGATCATCTCGACATTCGTCAGAGAGCTGCACACGGAGGCCTGAAGAACAGTGGGGCAACCCAGAACGTGTCAAAGCCACTGCAGAAGGAAGGAAAGGGAGGAGAGAAAGGACGAGGAAAAGGAGGCGCTTGCTTGTCGTGTTTGGGTGAACCTGATCGGGATTCCACTCAGAACTCACCATTCCGGGGGGCAGCTCTTGAGCGAAGAAGGCACGAGCTTCCGAAGCCACGGGCAAAGATCGAGCCGGCCGGCATTAGGATTTGATTCTGCTGCCCCAAGAAATGCTTGCCAGCGTGGTCCGCACAAAGTGGGATATGATTGGGTCGGGCATGTCCTCCTACAGGCGGATTTGGGACGAGAGAAAAAAAAACAAAAACAACAAAAAACAAAACAAAAACAAAAAACGCCCCCACACGGCTTTTTGACTATGTTTGAAGATTACTGCTGTAGAGGGACACGCCCGACTGAAGGTTATTGCACTATCGATGCGCACTGGAAGCGGCGCCACTTCCCAAACGGACGGGAAGGGGACTATACAAGCGAGCACGAGCCCAGGGCCAGTGCTCGCTTGTGGAGCCCCCTCCATCGGGCCCCAGGGCAGCCAAAACAGGCCCATGACAGAACGGCGCAGTCGTGGTCGTGGCCGTCGTGGTCGTGGCCGTCGTCGTTCGCTGGCCCGCCCGCGCGCTCCCACTCGCGCGGGAGCGCGAGCTCGCCGGGGGTGTGGGGGAGGAGAGAAGAGGGAGGCAAGCTAGATGCGCTCGCGCCATATCGGACATCCTACCCCTCCCACCCATCCCTTCTCATTGCGCTGATTTTTTCTTTATCCGCCGACGCGTGCCAAGACGGACCTGGAACAGCAAAAAGAGGCCACGCCGTGATATGCGCAATCGGCAGCGGATGAGCAGGGGGAATGAGCAGGAGGAAGGGGAGCAGGAGAAGGAGGAGAAGGAGGAGAAGGAGCAGAAGAAGGAGAAAGAAGGAAAGAGCAGGAGTAAAAGGAGGAGGAGGAGGAGGAGGAGAAAGGAGGAGAAAGGAGGAGGACAAGGACGAGCAGCAGCAGCAGGAATTGGAGAGGAGGGAGCGAGAGGATCCACGCGCTGAGGCGAAGCCTCCTCCTCCTCCTCCTCCTCCTCCTCCTCTTCCTCCTCCTCCTCGCCCTTCTCCTCCTCCTCCTCCTCCTCCTCCTCCTCCTCCTCGCCCTTATCCTCCACCTCCTCCTCCTCCTCCTCACTTCTCTGCTGCACGTCCTTCCGCAGCGCTCAGCGGGCGCCCTCTGACGACACGCGAGCGCACTCTCAACAATCGTCACGGGCACTGTGTGCCCCACGCTGCAGCGGGAGCAAAATTCTGGAAGGACCGAAAACATTGGGAAGGTAAGCACACATACGCATTAAACCAAAAACTGACCGGTCCTGCATGCAGGCACAGTACGCGGAGGGGGGCGCGCCACTCTCGAGACGTCGTCACGGGGAGAGGGGATAGTAGTAGTCATGCCAAGCTAGGCGCGCCCGCGCCATATCTGGCATCCGATCCCTCCCACCCATCCCTTCTCATTGTGCTGCTTTTGTATAGGACCCCCCAAGGGGACCTCAGTGTGCCATGTGGGGGAGGGGGTGGCGGACAAGCAGGAGGATGAGCAGGAGGAAGACGAGGAGGGTAAGGAAGGGGGAGGACGAGGAGCAGCAGCAGCAGCAGCAGCAAGAGGAGGGAGAAGCGGGAGGAGCAGGATGACCAGGGCAAGGCGGGGGAGGTGAAAAGAGCGGGACGACAACGATGAGGAAGCACTCGTATCCAGAAAAGTGGCCCGCGCTGGGGCGAGAGCGTCATTCTGAACGACGGGACCAGAGCGCCGATCGAGGCCAACGCTGCAGCGGAATCATCAGTTTGAGATACAGAAGCCACTCCGATTGAAAAAAACGTAAGAAACATCAACGGTTGACACCCTGTGTGACAAGTACACGCGGAGGGGAGCGCGCCACTCCCTGGCCATCTTCGGGGGAAAACGGAGGGGCTGGAAGGTTCTCAGGGACCCAGCCCCCCTGTTTGCCACCTGGTTCTGGGATCTTCTGGGAGTTCCTGAAAACTTCTGGGAGCTCCCAGAAGCGATCAAGAAGCGACCAAGGGAGTCCAAGAGGCCTCCAAGAAAGACCACGAGCGTTCCAAGACGCCCAAGATGGCCCAAGGTCCCCAAGAGGCCCCAAGAGCACTCCAAGAGAACCCCCAAGAGGGCCCTAAGAGGCCAAAATCATGGATTGCCCCTGGATCGTTTGAAAGATTTAAGCTTCTTCCCCCAGTTCGACTTCCAACACTCCAATACGGCTCAAGAAGCCCCCAGTCGCCGAGGAGCGCCCCAAGAGGCCTCAAGAGGACCCCAAAACGGCACAAGAGGCCCCCAAGACGGCCCAAAAGGCCCCCAAGAGGGCCCCAAGAAGCGCCCAAGAGGAACACGAACGGACATGTTGAGCCTTCCGCCCCAAAATGGCTCCAAGAGCCACCCAGAAGCAGGCTGTCGAGACCCCCCCAAGACGCTCCAAAAGGCCCCAATAGGCACCCAAGACGCCGCGAGAGGCCCCCAAGAGGCCCCCAGAAGCTACCATGAGCCCGCCAAGAGTCCCCCGAGAGGCATCCCGAGAGACCTTCGTATGCATCCACGAGGCCTCTGAACCACAACCCAGGCACTCTTGGGCCGTCCTGGGGCCCTCTTGGGCTGTCTTGGGGGGCTTGGGTCGTCTTGGGACCCTCTCGGGGCTACCTTGGAGACCTCCTGTCGCCTTCTTGGGGCTCTCTTGGGAACTTTTTGGGACCCTCGAGGGCCTCTCTTGGGCTTCTTGGGACTATTGGGCCGTCTTGGAGCCATCAACTTGGGCCGTCTTGGGGCCATCTTGGGGCCGTCTTGGGTCGTCTCGGGGCGGTCTTGGGGGCGTCTTGGGCCGTCTTGGACGCTGTTCAGACCAATAAAATTGAATGGGACGACTTTTACCATGTGAGGGTCCTTTTGGGAGCCTCTTGGAAAGTCTTGAGGGCCCCTCTGGCCGTCTTGAGGCCGTCTTGGGCTCGCTTTGAACGTTCTTGGGCCATCTTGGGGTCCTCTTGGGCCTCCCTGAGGCCGTCCGCCTTGGGTGCCTCTTGGGCCGTTTTGGGGGCCTCTTGTGCGTTCCTGGGGCCGACTTGGGCCATCTTGGGCCGAAAATGGCCGAAATCTGTGCGATTAGATCTGTTTGACATGGGGACGGAAAGCGCGTTAATGGTGTGAGGGCGCGAGGTCGCTGGCTACAAAAATCCGCCGACCCCTTGGGGATCATCGGCGTGTGAGATGCTTCCCCCTCCCCAAACCCCTCCCCCGGGAGCCCGGTCCGGTCGATTTGGAGGGGGGGGGGGGGTCCGGCACGAGCGCAGCACGGCCGGGACGAGCGGTTCACGGAGCTTTTCCGGGCCCAAGAGGGCCTCAAGACGGGCCAAGAAGCCCCCAAGAGGCCTCCAAGACGGCCCACGAAAGCCCCGAGACCCCAAACGACCGCTCCAAGACGCCCAAGATGGCCCCAAGACGGGCCAAGAGGTCTCCAAGACGGCCCCCGAGGTCCCAAACAAGCCTCCCAAGAGAGCCCCAAGAGTCTAAATTGTTGATTTTCCATAGTGTTTTTCTATGTTTTTTGCTTTTCCGCCTTTTCGGCTTCCCGACGCTCCAAGACGGCCAAAGAGGCCCCAAAGACAGCCCCAAGATGGCCCAAGAGGCCCCCAAGACGGCCTCCAGACGGCCCAAGACGGCCCCAACACGGCCCAAGAGGTCCCCAAGACGGCCCAAGAGGGCTCCAAGACGGCACCAAGAGGGGCCCAAGAGGGCGACCAAACATGTTGAAACTCTAGCTTTCTGCCCCCAGGAGCCCCAGGGGGCCCCAAGAGTGCCCCAAGAGGCCCCCAGAGGCCCTCACGAGGCCGCCCAGACGCCCCAAGGAACCCCCAAGAAGCACCCCAGAGGCTCCGAAACGGCCCCCAAGTGGCTCCAAAACTCGCTTCCAGAGGCCCCCGAGAAGCGATCCGCGAGATCCCGATACACATACAAGAAGCCTCTCACCCATAACCCATAACCCAGAGCCCCTTCGCAGCTTCTACTACCCCCAGATTGGCATAAACAAGGGGTCGGCGGTGTGGCGTAAGCCTAAGAATCTAGCAACCAACCTCGCGAACATAAATTAATGTTGCATTTCCGGGTCTTACTGGGGGTCCCTTTGGGGCTCGTTTGGGCTGTCCTGGGGCCCTTTTTGGGCCGTCCGACCCTCTTGGGACGTCTTGGCGGGCTTGGGTCGTCCTGAGGCCCTCTGGGAGCCCTCCTGTGTCACCTTGGGGACCTCCTGTGGTCCTCTTGGGGCACTCTTGGGAACCTTTTGGGACCCTCAGGGGCCTGTCTTGGGCCGCCTTGGGGCTCTCTTTGGCCGTCTTGACGCCCACCTGAGCCATCTTGGGGGCCTCTGGGGCCGTCTTGGGGCGGTATTGGGGTCGTTGCCGTTTTGAACGCTGTGAAGACCAAGGAAGCGGATATGCTAAAAATGTACGCTTGTCCTAGGGAATGG